GGACACGGGTTCGAGCCCTGGTCTGGGAAGATCCCACATGCCGCGGAGCAACAAAGTCCGTGCACCACAACTATGGAGCCTGCGCTCTAGGGCCCGTGAGCCACAACTAGTGAGATTGTGTGCCACAACTACTGAAGCCTGCGTGCCTAGAGCCATTGCTCTGCAACAAGAGAAGCCACCACAATGAGAAGCCCGCACACCGCAATGAAGAGCAGCCCCCGCTCGACACAACTAAAGAAAGCCCGCATGCAGCAAAGAAGATCCAATGTACCCAAAATAAATAAATACATACATACATAAATACATAAATAAATTTATAAAATAAAATGGACACTGAAAGAATAAAAAAGGTTCTTGGAAATTAAAATTGTGAAAGCAGAAATTTAAAAACTCAATGAAAGGACTGTGAGCTAAATCTCCCAGAAAGCAAAATGTTAAGAAAGAGAGATGGCAGAGAAGGAGAGAACAGATTGTAAAATTATGGCATGAGTTCAGGATGTTCAGGAAGTGAAACATTTTAATAAGAGTTCCAGAAAGAGAGAAAATACATGTGGGGTGTTTGTATGTGTGTGTTGGTAGTGGTGAGGAATAACTAAATAAAAATTTCGAGTAAAATTCCCCAAGGAACTGAAGGATATGCATTTCCAAATTCAAAGCAGCCATGGAGGGCCCAGCCCAACAGATGAAAATCCCCCATCCAAGGCACCTCCCCATGAGTCCAGAGCACTGGGAACAAAAAGAATATCCTAAGATACCCATTCTCTTATTCCTGGGAGGTGTCTTCTAGTTCCTGGTGGGTAAGAATCTTAAAGGTTCAAAAGGTATTTCTAGCAGATTTGTCACAAGGATTTTAGTTCATATAACTTATGAGGTTTTCAAAGGAGTTCTGAGGATGCTAGATTACTTTTTTTCTTAATGTAAAAGCAATATATGCTCATTACAGAAATCATGGAAACTTCAGGAAAGTATAAAGAAGAAAAAGTATCAGCTGTAGTTGAACAAATCTGAACATCTATTTCTTCTTTACCAGCATGGAGTATTGTTTTTTAAGCTTTATCCATTTGGTAGGAAAAAGAAGAGTCTCAATTTAATTTGTGATTATTTCTAACTAGAGTTGACCATATTTTTAGCAGTTATAATTCCTCTGGGAATTGTCTCATTTTGTTAGTCTTGATGTTTTTCTAGATGTGCTTGGTAAGATACTCTAAAGGAGCTGTGTGTCACGTTCTCATCTTCATGGCCATGCCCCAGACCACAGCGTATGATGCCTCTACTGTGAAAATGTGAAAATATTCTTTCTAAATGATGACGGTTGTCACGCTCAGGTTTCCCATAGCCTTTCTTCCTGTTTCTCTTTCCTCTGGTGGTTGTGTTTGTATTTGGTTTCCTAGCTGTCTTGCTTTGGCTGAGTGAAGACTCGGCCAGGGCTACCTCTCAGTATGTGCCCGCACTGCCTCCCTTCCCAATGATGTACTCCAGCCACAGTGACCCCACGGGACCCTGTGCCCAGCCGGTACCTACTGAATACTATCTAATGAAATGCCACACATCTGAGAAGGGCAGAAAGGAAAAGTGAAAACGCAGCTAATTTTATTTTTGGTTTCATTAATGGAGCCTATTTAAGTTTCTGTTAAATATTTGCTCCCCAACAGCAAACCTGGTCCTGGAAAACACTCTCTTGGTAGACACGATTTACTTCACAATTTTCCCTCCCTTGATTGACAGCTGTGAAATAGAGAACCGAAGGCTGTCAAAGATAACTGAATAATGTGTGAGGCAAACAAGTGTCCACGCTGCAGTCCCTTCTCTTGCTTGAAACCCCGGCAACGTAAAAGCAAGTCCACAGAACCACTTGAGGATGAGGAGGGGTGAGGCCTTGCAGACACTTTCAGAGCCCATTGCCTAAAAATGTTGCCTTCAGCAGGCAAAGTAGAATGAGTGCTGGAGAAAAGCACCCTTGCTTTCTTATCCCCACTGTGAGGCCAAAATTGATCTTATGAGCTAAAGTTGACCTAGAAAACACATTTGCAAGCATTTCCCTTCCTCTTCAAAGACAATAAAAATGGACACGCTTTAACTGCAATTAAGATTGGGGCCCAGCTGAGGCTAGTGGGAATATCTGGCACCTAGCGCCACCTTGTGGTGGCTCATCCAAATCCTGGGCCCTTTCAAAGGGCCCTGTCAGATTAAATATGACTGCTTCGTGAAGAGGAGTATGGATTAAGTCATTTTCTTGGGGAATACAAACTAATAGAAATAACAAGCACTTGACTGTAACTCTATAGTAAATGAAGCACTCATTTAATCTGGTTGCAGTCCTGTGCTACAGGTAACAGGATCTCAGTCTTAGAAATGGGAAGACTGAGGCTTGGAGAAGTTGACTACTTGTATGGGCCAAGTCCTGGACTTGAACCCAGATGTTTATATTCCAAATAGCGTTATTGTTGTATGTAGTATATATCAAAAACTCGAATGAAGTTAATAGTACCATATAGTATCGTATACGGTATACACTGCATAGTATAATATATATATTCTATACTATATATGGTATATATACCTTACTAAAGAGCACTATAGTACTTATGCTATTTTCTATAGCACTGTAAACCAGTACTCACTACCCTTCTGGGGCTATTTTCTGCCTGTGAAGACAAGGCAATACTGGTTGACTCTTGACAGTCTATGATTTAGCAAATGCTGTCACAGAGTTTTGCTACTAAACACACTGTGGCCTTGCTTTCCTGGATCTCCCGGGCACCCAACCAGCAGAAGATTCTGCTCCCCTGTCTTAATCTGGGGTGCAGTAATGGAAGTGTCCCAGGGAGAATGAACACGGGGGCACCAAGGCAAGAGAACTGAAGCCATGTTTTTATTATTTCTTACCCCAATCCACTGGCCCAAACCATGATAGACATGTCACTGCATTCATTTAACTAGAAGTATGTTTTACAACCACATTTTAAAGTGGGGTTACTGAGAGGTTACCTGGCTGGGTGTCAGAGGTGTGCATGTCATTAGGCCAGCTTTAAATATTCCAGGTGAAAAATCTGCAGCCTTTCCTTTATGGGGCAGGAATTTGGGGCCATCATTCCTCCTGAGGACAGAGACAACTCCAAGTTGTGCTTGGAGGAAACCGTGGGCCTCATTTACAGGCATCCCCTCAGGCAACTCCTGGCAAAGGTAGAGGGGCCAGGTCCTCGTCAGCCTGTTCGGCTTGCTTTAGAGTCACTCCCGTCTCCAGGGCACGTGGTCGGCCAGATCAGCCACCTCTGGTAGGTCTCAGGACAATTATCCATGTCTTACAAGTAAGGAATCTGAGGTTCAAACAGAGTGAGTGGGGAGGCCACAACTGACTTCTGACAACAAAAGCCCACGCTTACACTACACCACACTGCTCCCCACTTTCTACTTTAAATATCCTGTTTTTATCCAGCTCAGCCACTAAAACCCAAGTGACATTGGTCAGACCTAGTGGAGGAAACAGGTGAAAGGACTTCTGAGGAGGGGGCATTTAGCAGCATTCTGGGGCTGAAGCTGGGCGTGGGATGCACTTGCTGGAGCCACTTGGAGGAAAGAGCTCTGGACTGGAGGTGGGGAGCCTGGGGCTGGTTGAGGCTCTCCCCCAACAAATTGCTCTGGGGCTGGGCTTGCCCCTCGCTCCATGAGGAAGCCCGTGAGTCCCCGTCCCCCACCAGGTTCATCTTCTTTACAAGCTGATTTCAAAGGACAACTCTGTACTAGTCCTCATCAGTTCTGCTCTTACCCAGGATAGCCATCCTCCAGCCTTCAAAAGAAGGGGAGAGAACACATAAAGCAACAGACAGGGGCTCCTCTTGCTTCCCCTGCCCCTTAGCGCCCTCCCAAGCAGTCAGGGACAGATGGCAGAGTGAGGACACCCAGCAAGCATGCCGCCTGAGCCTCACTGCCTGTCCCTCTTCTCTCCGGGAGCGGCAGGGCTGACTCTAATTGTACGGAACGGCTATGACTACTGGCCAGCCCCTCCCCACAGGGACCCCTCCCCTTCAAATATGTTTGGCGTTGAAGGGCCCTAGCTGGCTGTGTGTGCGGTCCAGGCAGTACACTCAAGACAACCATTCTCATGAACAGGAAACATCATGGCCTACAGGATCAGCTTTGTTAGCAGGCCAAAAGAACTCTGATTTCATTTTATAAAGAGAAAGTCATTACACAGGAATGCTTGGGAAACAGGTCAGCAGACCAATCTGAGGATTTTCCCATATGCCACCTCAGCAACTAGCCATGGCAGTCATTGCCTCTTAGCTGCTGCCGCTGCATTTCCCAGTGGGGAGCTGGGACAGGGGATGGCCTTCCCGTCTCCCTCAGGGCACTGTGGCCAGGGACTGGCCCAATTACAGATGGTCTCAAGAACGAAGCAGGGAGCCATGGGGTGTTCCTGAGACCTCCAATGCAAAAGTGGCATTTGTGGACACTGGTCCTAAGGAGGCACATAAAATGAACCAAAGCAGAGGGAAATGGGCAAACATGAGACACTGGAGAAAGAAGAGAAGAGAACAATCCTTCAAGCTAAAAATACACAGGGCTGTGTTATTTTAGTCTATTTGGCCTCATTTTTCCACAGGGTTGTCTGACATGCTGCCTAGAGACACATTTACAGACTTCAGGAGTAATGAATGACATGGGTCTCTCTAAGTGCTACAGGGCCCTCGTGCTTTCCTCTGTGGAATCTTAAGACAACATGGCTAAAACACTTTATACCATAAAACTTTCCTCTTCAGGTCTTGCAATTTTATTTACAATTCTGTAACACACACACACTTGCTACCTTTTAATATAAAAAGTATATATATTCATTTTAAAAAGTTAAAATATAAAAGTACACAAAATAAAGAGTGACTTTAAACTTTCCTCTTCAAGGGGAGGCACAGACATCAACTTCGTGAAAGGTCAGGACTCGTGGCCCAGGCACGGGGTCACAGGAGTTGGGTTCTTCAGAGACTTTCGGAACTTGCTCTGAAGGAAAACCCTCGGTACACACAGGCCTTCTTTTTTATTCACCGTCTCACGAAACACATACTCGTTCACCTCTTCTTCGTAACCTGTGTCCATAAAGAGCCGTGCCAGGAAATCTAGAAGACAAGCAGATCGACAGCGCTCGCAGTCTGGACTCCACTGCACCGCTGAGCAGTGGTGAGGGGGGCGGGAGGCTGAGACAGGGCATCCTTAATGGAAGGAGAACCTCAACACTAAAAGGTAAAGAAGGTTTTGTTCTGGAAAGTTAACAAACTCCTACTTCTCCCTGTCAAACAAAAACGCCCAAATAAACAATAAGCAAAAAAGTTTAAGAACAACCTGGAGTACGTCCTCCTTGCCCTACTGTGATTCCCCAAGGACAAGAGTCTGAGTAAAAAGAAACACAATTCCAGACTGGCTGTACTCATGCAAAGTGCGTGTGTGCTCAATTTGTTTACATCAAGCACCTCATCTATGCTAACATGAAGGAGGAAAATCAGTGACCAAACTGGGGAGGAAAAAAATCATCTGATAGTGACATACCCTAAGGAAAAGTTAATCCAAGTAATACATCACTACACATTGAGTGGAACAAACAGAATGGCTGCCTAGCAAAAACAAAGACTCTTATCGAGGGCATTACTCCAAAGAATGTGCTCTGAAGCATTTTGCAGATATTATTGCATCTTCTCATTTATAATTGGTTTAATCAGATTTCATGAATCCAAAACATTAAAACAAATTTTTAATTTTCACCGTACATTTTTAATGGTTTTGTAGTTTTAATGGTAATCACTCATTTTTAGCTTTAAGAGAATATTTCACTTCAAGAAATACAAATGTTGTAAAAATTAGAGCTTAAGAAGGTAATTATCTTATGGTTCAGATTACAGGCATACCTCAGAGATATTGTGGGTTCGGTCCCAGACCACCACAATAAAGGTAAATATTGCAATAAAGCGAGCCACACGAATTTTCTGGTTTCTCAGTGCATATGAAGTTATGTTTACAGTATACTGTAGTCTATTAAGTGTGCAGTAGCACTGTGTCTAAAAAAACAATGTGTATACCTTAATTTAAAAATACTGTATTGCTAAAAATTGCTAACCATCATGTGAGCCTATAGTGAGTCTTAGTAGTAACGTCAAAGATCACTGATCACAGATCACCATAGGAAATATAATAATTTATAATAGTTCAAAATATTGCGAGAATTACCAAAATCTGACATAGAGGCATGAAGTGAGCAAATGCTGTGGGAAAAATGGTGCCAATAGATTTGTTCGACACAGGGTTGTCAGAAACATCCCATTTACGAAAAATGCAATATCCACGAAGCACAATAAAACGAGGTATACCTGTATTTAACAGGCTTAAAACTAACGTTCAAAATACCTAAAAGAGGGCTTCCCTGGTGGCGCAGTGGTTTAGAGTCCGCCTGCCGATGCAGGGGACACAGGTTCGTGCCCTGGTCCGGGAAGATCCCACATGCCGCAGAGCGGCTGGGCCCGTGAGCCATGGTCGCTGAGTCTGCGCGTCCGAAGCCTGTGCTCCACAACGGGAGAGGCCACGACAGTGAGAGGCCCGCGTACCAAAAAAAAAAACTACCTAAAAGACTAAAATCATGTTCGGTGTTTGGATGGTTTTAAAATCATGTTCGGTGTTTGGATGGTTTTCTTATCAAAAATGACCTTTTAAAGACCCCTCTATAGCAAATTTGTGTAAAAAGTTTCAATCACTTTTTTCCTTAAAGATTTTTCTTGATGTGGACCATTTTTGAAATCTTTATTGATTTGTTACAATATTGCTTGTTTTTTGTTTTGATGTTTTGGCCTCGAGGCATGTGGGGTCTTAGCTCCCCAACCAGGGATCGAACCTGCACCCTCTGCATTGAAAGATAAAGTCTTAACCACTGGACCACCAGGGAAGTCCCTCAATCACTTTTATAGAAAAAGGTTTCTTACCTTTGTGAGACTCAAGTAATCTCAAGGCACTACCCTGTCCTATTTGCTTTATGCCTGAGTGAACGAAGTGAAGATTCTGGTTTGCTCTCCCCTCTTTCCAGCGCAGCTCCTGGCGTCATCCACATGGCGGCGCATCAGAGCCTGTCCACTGATCCGGCTCACTAACTGGACACGGTCACCAGAGGCGGCCCGTGAGCTCACAGCCAGGGCTGGTAAGTGGTGCACGTGAGCGGGCTTGTTCTGGGACCTTGTGCTTGTAAGGGGGGTACAGTCACCCCCACTCCAACTGGTACCACAGTGACAATGCAATCAAGGAAACAGCAGTCAAGACAGATTCCAGCAATCTTACCATCAGTGAAAAAATACGATCTGGTTCCATCTTGTCTAACATAAAAGTTTTCTGCAAGTTTGCTGCCGGCTTTAAACCTAAGCATGGCATGATCATACAGCCCATAGTCGCGAAACAAGACACTTTTGCCTGGTTTTAATACCTATGAAACAAAACAGGCTGCACGTAATTCAGGGACCCAGTCAAACAGAGCTTACTATAAAATAAAACCTGATTAATTTAGGGATTAAAATAACTTGCATTTGTGACAGTTATGAAAGGGGCCAGACTGCAATACCCATACTATGAAGGAAAAGGGCCTGATAAGCAAAGGTGTGCTAAGACTTGGCAGTGTCCTGTGCACTGGAAGGGTACTTCCTGAGCACTAATGAGAGCTCTGTGGAAGGTCCAGTGTCACACAATTAAAGTGTTAAAGGTATCAGAAGAAACAATCATACCCTCACTAAAACACGTTCTCCCACCATTTTATTAGCCATCTCCTAATCCATGACCCTGCAGTCAAATTGTTTCTTTAAAAAAATACTATGTCATTTTCACTTTTTACTGATCTTTTGGGCTTCCTCATCCTGAGTCTCAGCTCTGGTCTCCCACGCTACAATTCTGTATGGCTTGCCCACCACGCTAACAGTGACGGCCCTCTATAGCTTACCAGACATTTTCTCACTGGGTCTTCACACAATTCTGGGAGGAAGGAAGGAAGAAGTGTGATTATCCTCTGTGAGACAAGGAAACTGGTAGCAGAAGAGGGAAGTGATTTGCCCACAATCATACAAAAGCTACTAAGGAGGGGGGGCAGGACTCAAGCTGGGGTTAAAGGCATCACACTGCAGGATCAGGGATGTTTGTTAGCCCTGGGCAGAGTAGGGGCGGGGGGTGTCATTCCAATTCTGTCCTCACTACTGACAAGACAAGAGAGGCTGTGAGGGCAGGGGTAACTTGAGTATTCTTCCCACACTGCTGCACTTCTTGATTTGAAGCGAAGCAACCTCACGCTAGTGCAGTGTGTAGAGAAGGGACCAGTGTCAGGCTCCGGTGGGAGTCCCTCACTACAGCCTTTCAGAAATAGCTGTCACAGAGCAGATGTCTCAAAAATTGGAAGGTAAAATCCGCCGCGAGTGGTATAACTGCCCCTCTCTTACACAGCAAATAGCCATATGCTTTTCAGAATGAAAAGAAAGTGGTACTCGCTGTGACACTTGCTTTTTATGCGGGGATTCTTTCAAACTGCGTAACTTTACCAAATAAGAGTGGACTTCAAAAGGGGGCATTGATTTTATTAAATATATTCTGCCCCATCACATCAACAAGATGATTTTTAAGACATGACATGTAGCACCTTTTACAGATTTTTGATGTAACCTGATGTTTCCTCTTCCTGAATAGAATAGGAAAGGTTGCCCCTAATACTTCCAAGTGTGCTGCAGATTTTCTCATTTAGCAAATTCTTTTTTTTTGGCCATGCCCCATGGCTTGTGGGATCTTAGTTCCCCATCCAGGGAGCGAACCCACGCCCTCGGAACTGAAAGCACGGAGTCCTAACCACTGGACTGCCAGGGAATTCCATCATTTAGCGAATTCTTATCAACGCTAGCATGCATTTAAAATATTGTCAGTAAAGTGCCTCTTCGATAAAAACATTCATACCTTGGTCAGAAATGCTAAATTTTAAAATGTGAATAATTGAGAAGGAAAAAGTCTGAAAATTTTAGTCTGTGTGAGAAAGAAATCATTCTTAATTTCAGAGGGAAGGAAAGCCTGCATGGGACCCTTGCTCAGGAATTTGGGAAATCCTGGTCCATATCCCAGCTCTTCTGTTAACTGGTTGAATGACCATGGACAACATTGCATCCCTCTGAATGTATTTTCTCGTCCGTAAGACAGTAATTATGGTATAACACCTCCTTTGATGGCGGGGCTGTACAGCCACCGGCTTTCCTCACCCTCTCAACAGCTCCAGGAAGAAAGCAGGTGAGGTCGACCAGACCCACTCCATGTTGAGTGAGGCTCAGAGTACAAGTGACTCGCCTGGGCTTTCAAGGCAAGTCAGTGGCACAGGAAAACCAAAATCTCGTCTTCTGATGACAAATTTGGTCTATTTTTATTTTACCGTTCTATTCCAAAACTGAGGGAATTCAACTTTAAGGCTGCCTTTCAGTGTAAAATTATGTGGTTTTAAAATTTCTCAGGTGTTAACATCCTAGAGTAATTATCTCTACCGTACAATAGTTTATTACTGTAGCTGATCAAGCAAGACTGCAGAGCTGCCCAAAGGGTGCCTGATTGTCAGAGGCTGAGAGCTTGCTTCTTCCAGTAATTTCCTGATGAAGCACATGGTCTCAAATTAATGAACCAGTGACTGACTATGCATGACAGCATCACACTGCTGCCGTGAACTCATTCCAGGTCAGCTGAAAAAGGATTTCTATTGGGGGGTAAAAACAGGAAGACTGCTGAAATGGAATTTGTTACTATAAGAAAGGGGCCAGGTATGGACTGGGACAGCTCAAGTTAACTTTTCTTTTAATATAACACTTCATTATATACTAAATATAGATAACATGCTGTATGTTTCCATTTAAATCAAGAATAGGCATATCCTCATTAATACCCGGCTCTGTCAGACTTAACTTTATTAATCTAATTGTGTCTCATTATGGTTTTATTTTCCATTTCCTGGGTTATTGAGGTTATCTTTTCATATGTTAACTATCTGTGTGTTCTCTTCTGTAACATGACTGTTTGCTCATTTTTCTATTGTCATTCTTACTGTTACTCAGGAATTCCTTATACATTCTGGATAGTAGGCCGACCAGGGATCGAAGCCATGCCCCCTACAGTGGAAGCTCGGAATCTTAACCACTAGACCGCCAAGGAAGTCCCTCAGTTGAGTAGATTTTAAGTTACTTTTCCCACCTTGTCTTTTCAATTTCTTTGTATTATACTGTCTTTTGAAGAACAGAAACTCTTAATTTTTTTACCATCATCTTTATGCATAGAATGTTTCTGAATCTTTGAGAAAATTTTCCCTACTCTGAAGTCAAAGATTTTCTCCTATATTTTCTTCTGAAAGGCTTAAACTTTTGTCTTTTCCATTTGTCTTCAAATCCACCTGGAATGACTCTTGTATAGGATGTGAAGTAGGAATACAATTTTGGTTTTCTCTCACATGGCCTACCAACAGTCCCAGAATCATTTGCTGAGCAGTCCTTTTCCCAGGGATCTTCAATGTCACCTCTATCAACTATCAAATTTCCATATATATATGGATCTGCTTTTAAGCTATCACATTCCATTTGTCAATTTGTCTGTCCCTCTGCCAATACCACTGTGTCTTAATAATTGTAGTTGTAACAAGCCTTTATATCTGGTAGGGTATAAATCTCCCCATTGCCTTCTTCTTCAAGAGTGTTTTGACTCTTTGTTCCTTCATGTAAATTTAAAATCAGCTGTCAATTTCCTCAAAAAAAAAAAAAAGTCTACCAAAAAACTCAAAATCAAACAAAGAAGTAAAACAAAACACGTAACATGAAGTGGAAAAGTAAGATTGCACAATGCATGTTATTCTTTTTTAAGTGTACAGTTCTGTGGCACTGAGTACATTCATCTTACACTTACGTAATTCTGTTAATATTTTCTCATTAGACAATCATATTATCTGCAAATAATGAGTTCTGTTTCTTTCTCATTCTAAAATCCTTTATTCCTTTTTCTGGTCTTTTCCAGCTGACTAGGACCTCCAGTATAATGATGGATAGAACATTGACAGTGGGCACTCTCGTCCCCAGCAAAGTTCCAGACACTCCTTACTCTGCCCCTATTACCTCCTACTCCTTCCTAATCCCCAAAACCCTCCATCAAATCACGGTATCCTGAACGTCCCCTTCATTCTTGTGCTAACAAAAACCTGACTGTCCCCTGAGGACGCAGTTTTCCCTGCAACCTCTCAAGTCAGGCTGTGTTTTCTCCCATGGTCCTTGTATCACTAGGCATGGGAATGGGTCTGGGGTTCTCCTTGCCCCACTGCTACTTTCTGTGCATTCCCCTTTCTCCTCCCCAAGCCTCATGTCTGAATCTCCTGTCATCAGATCATATCACCCACTATCCCTTATTGTTAGTCATCTATTAGTTCCAGGGTCATTTCCCTCCATTTCATGATGAATGCATCTCCTGGTTTATGCTTTTATCCTCATACTACTCCATTCTTAATTCCCATCAATTTCAACACGCACATGGATTATGCTTCCAAATATGCTGGCCTCAATGATTTGAGCTCCTCTCTTCCGAAGATCTCGTCCTCCACCCTACCTTAATCACTCGCTCCCACAGTAATGTCCTAAGTTCTTGTCAACACTGTAAAGTATAACCCCTTCATACTCTCAATGTCACACAAGTAACTCTCCGACCACCCCCTCCACCATTTTTCCAGCTCTTTCTCTAACTCCCCATCTTTCATAAACCTTCACCTTCACCTGAGTCATCAAATCAGGGATCCTCCCATCGGTCCCCTCTTCCCTCTTTACCTGGCTTAAGTCCCATGCCTATCTGTGGATATACGCTGGCTTCTCATCTGTTCATATGCCAGGGCAGGGAAAGGAGAGGTAAGGAGGAAAAAACCTTACAAAACCTCACAAGCAGAGGGCTAAAACCATCTGAATTTTTTAAAAAATTGTTTTCAGTGAGAATAGTTATTCCCTAACAGGTTTCCAGCGTCTTGAAATTTCTACCTCGCTACTCTTTTAAAACATCACGAACCAGGGTTAAATTTTAATGTACAGCTCTACATATACAGAGGCTCTCAGCTAATGTCCACTTCCTCAGCTTGCTGGACACTTTCCATTCTCTCTGTAAACTGACTGAAGCCACGAGACTCTGTCAATCGAGACAGCACGTGAGCCTCAGAGGGAAGGTAAGTGAAAAGATCAGGACATCTAACCCTAAAGTGCAGGCTCCCAATTACTAACCTTGTAAATGTTTTGTAAGACAAGGTGCATTTTATCAGGGTGAACCGCAGAGAGCACAAATATCAACATGACAACATCCACAGACTCCGGGGGCACGTGTTCCAGAAGGTCATCTTTAGTCAGATCACACTGGAATACCTTGCATCGTTCTGTGTCATATAAAGGATTTTGCTAGAGAGGAGAAAAACACAAAATAATTTTTACACCACATCCACGTTGATACATGGAGAAAAACACAGCATCAAAAGGAGATCCTACTTCTACGTGTACACTGCTGCACAGAAATCAATGATCACTTTGTAACTGGGTAAAACAGTAATGAACCATTTGCACATTAAAGCATGTAATGTTCAATACTGCTACAACAGACAAGATTTCATTTTAACAAATCATTTTTTTCCTTTTAAAAAAATTTTATTTTATATTGGAGTATATTTGATTAACAATGTTGTTAGTTTCAGGTGTACAGCAGAGTGATTCAGTTATACATATACATGTACCTATTCTTTTTCAAATTCTTTTCCCATTTAGGTTATTACAGAGTATTGAGCAGAGTTCCCTGTGCTATACAGCAGGTCCTTGTTGGTTACCTGTTTTATATATATTAACCAATCATTTTTAACTGTGTACACAGTCTATCACATATTCCAAACTGAGCATTTTAGAAGCTTGTAACTCCAGAGGGATGATAATCCAAAACCAGCCTCTGCTCCCTTAACCCTATAAGAAGTCCTTCCAGCTTCCTTTATTGAGATGCTCCCACAGTTTTTCTGGGTATATTTTCCCTTGATGCAGCAAGCTAATAAAACCTAACTTTTTTTTTTTTTTTTTTTTTAACTACACATGTGTTCCCGGTACATTTTGGTTCATTGTTTCAACACATGTATAAGAGCATTATGGAAAAAAATATCAAACTTTTCTTTAATGTAAATAAGGACTTTAATAAATTGAGAGATATACAAAGTTATTGGATGGGAAGGTTCAATGTTGAAAAGATGTCAGTTCTACCTATAACTCCTCTTATAAATCCAATGCAATCTCAACTGAATCTCCACGGATTTCTAGAAACTTGACAAGGTAAATTTTATTCATCTGGAAGTGAAAATCTTTAAGAATAGCCAAGATGATTTTTTTTTTTTTTTGATAGTGGCCATCCTAATGGCTGTGAGGTGATATCACATTGTGGGGTTTTGTTTTTTTGTTTGTTTTTAATTTATTTATTTAATTAATTTATTTTTTTTGGCTGTGTTGGGTCTTCATTGCTGTGCATGGGCTTTCTCTAGTTGCAGTGAGCAGGGGCTACTCTTCGTTGCGGTGCGCAGGCTTCTCATTGTGGTGGCTTCTCTTGTTGCAGAGTAAGGGCTCTAGGCGCGTGGACTTCAGTAGTTGCAGCATGCAGCCTCAGTAGTTGTGGCTCGCGGGCTCTAGAGCACAGGCTCAGTAGTTGTGGCGCACGGGCTTAGCTGCTCTGCGGCATGTGGGATCTTCCCAGACCAGGGCTTGAACCTGTGTCCCCTGCATTGGCAGGTGGATTCTTAACCACTGTGCCAACAGGGAAGCCTGCCAAGACGATTTTTAAATGAAGAACAATGGAAGAGGAGGCACACTACTGGACATCAAAACACATTACAAAATGAAGTACTAAAACAGTGTGGTTTGAGAATGGGGACAAATAGATCACTGAGACAGAACAGAGTCCCCAAACAGACCCATGTATAAAGAGGGATCAGTAGTGTATATGACAGAAGAGAGATGACAAAAATGACAATTAGATTTAAAAAAAGGTAGATAATAGGGACTTCCCTGGTGGCGCAGTGGTTAAGAATCCACCTGCCAATGCAGGGGACACAGGTTCAAGCCCTGGTCTGGGAAGATGCCACAGGCTGCGGAGCAACTAAACTCGTGCACCAAAACTACTGAGACTGTGCTCTAGACTCCACAAGCCATAGCTACTGAGCCCACGTGCCACAACTACTGAAGCCCGCGCGCCTAGAGCCCGTACTCCGCAACAAGAGAAGCCAGTGCAATGAGAAGCCTGTGCACCGCAACAAAGAGTAGCCCCCTCTCTCCACAACTAGAGAAAGCCTGCGCACAGCAACAAAGACCCAATGTGGCCAAAAATAAATTTAAAAAAAAAAGGAGATAATACAGGTGACAATTATCAGGAATGGAAAACGAATTTCTCACTCAATTCACTGTTTGAACAGCTAGCTCTATCCACTTGTGTTGGAGGACAGCAGACCGCTTGGAGTAATAAAAGACTTGCAGCTCCAGTGCAGAGATGTAGAGAGGTGGAAAGATGTAGCTCCCATCCTTATGGGAAACAAGCTGGACAGACAGCAACTTTATGTGAACCCATGAAAGAACAGAGGTCAAAGAACCACCAGCCATCCCCAAATCTGGAGAGGGACATGTGCCTTCAGGGAGACGCAGGACCCAAGCGTTTGCTTACCTGAGGCAGTAGCCTTCAGCCTGGAAAGAGAAAATTAGAAATGTGACAAACAGCTGAAGCCACCGGGATGTTCCCACCCTTTGCAGGTGTTTCCACCAAGGACATCACCAGGCTCTCACAGAGACAATGGTGCTCTTTCTGGTGCCGGACTTTCTCACCTCCTTTAAGGGAGGAAAGGTTTAACCTGCAGGGGAAAAGTCATCTGAGGCCTGTATCCTTAGGGCACTGGTGGAGTACTACTACCACTGGGGGAGGGCCCTACTCTTCCCAGACCTAGTCTTAATCTGCAGAGAGAATGGCCTCAAGACCACAGAGGATGACAGAGGCGGGGAAGCGATGGGAGAGAAAAGCTCTATTCCTGGAGAAGCAGAAACACTTGTGAGCGCCACACCCCTAAGACACAGGTCCATTATGCAGTTCAAAAACTGAAAATCAGAACATTAGAGAACAGTCTCTTTCCCCACATACTACCAACAAATCTCCAGTAATAACAACAGTGGATTGCTGGGAAAGCTGCAAGAGACAGACTCTTCATGGTGAACAGCACAAAGGGAAGACCCAAAGCCAAGAGGAGCAACAAAAACAAAGTCACCAGAGGAGTTTGAAGTCTCTGAGGCCAATAGCAACAACAAACCTCACAGGTAACTATAGCAACAAGAGACTTCAAATAGAGCCCAACTCCTGTCTAGATTATTACATATCCTTATTACCTCAGTATCCACTGCCCTATATAACATACCCGGCTTTCAACAAAAAAGAGCAAGGCGTACCAAAAGGCAAGAAAAAATATGGTCTGAAGAGACAATCAATCATGAGAACCAGACTCAAATATGACACAGACGTTGGAACTACAGGTTTGGACATTTAAAATAACTGTGATTAACATATTAAAGGCTCTAAAGGAAAAGGTAGACAACATGCAAGATCAGATAGGTAATTTCACAGAGAGATAGAAACTACAAAACCAATCAACTGGAAATGCTAAAAACAAAAAACTTAGTTACAGAAATGAAGAATGCTTTTGACAGACTCATCAATAGGAATGCCTACTGCCTAAAGAGGAACCAGTGAACTTGATGATAGGACAATAAATTACACAAACTGAAGAAAGGGAAAAAAAGTTAAAAACAAACAAAAACAGCATCCAAGAGCTGTGAGACAATACAAATGGTATAACATACAAGTAACTGGAATCCTAGAAAGAGAAGAGGAAACAGAGCTGAAGAAATACTTGAAGATATAATGGCCAAACTTTTTCCAGATTGATTAAAAACCATAACCAAAATTTAAAAAAGCATATCTATGTGATTACAGAACTTATAAACAAGACATAAAACCTTCATACCTTAAAAGGAAAAGATTATCAGATTGGTTCAAGATGGCAGAGTAGAAGGACGTGCACTCACTCCCTCTTGCGAGAGCACCGGAATCACAACTAGCTGCTGAACAATCATCGACAGAAAATATTTGAAGAGATTAGAGTCGAAAACTTCCCTAACATGAGAAAGGAAATAGCCACCCAAATCCAGGAAGGGCAGAGAGTCCCAGGCAGGATAAACCCAAGGAGAAACACACCGAGACACAGAGTAATCAAATTGACAAAAATTAAAGACAAAGAAAAATTATTGAAAGCAACAAGGGAAAAAAGACAAATAACATACAAGGGAACTCCCACAAGGTTAACAGCTGATTTCTCAGTAACTCTACAAGCCAGAAGGGAGTGGCATGATATATTTAAAGTGATCAAAGGGAAGAACCTACAACCAAGATTACTCTACCCAGCAAGGATCTCATTCAGATTTGACGGAGAAATCAAAAGCTTTACAAACAAGCAAAAGCTAAGAGAATTCAGCACCACCAAACCAGCTCTACAACAAATGCTAAAGGAACTTCTCTAAGTGGGAAACACAAGAGAAGAAAAAGACCTACAACCAATAACAATTAAGAAAATGGTAATAGGAACATATATACCGATAATTACCTTAAACGTGAATGGATTAAATGCTCCAACCAAAAGACACAGGCTCGCTGAATGGATACAAAAACAAGACCTATATATACGCTGTCTACAAGAGACCCACTTGAGACCTAGGGACACATACTGACTGAAAGTGAGGGGATGGAAAAAGATATGCCATGCAAATGGAAATCAAAAGAAAGCTGGAGTAGCAATACTCATATCAGATAAAATAGACTTTAAAATAAAGAATGTTACAAGAGACAAGGAAGGACACTACATAATGATGAAGGGATCGATCCAAGAAGAAGATATAACAATTATAAATATATATGCACCCAACACAGGAGCACCTCAATACATAAGGCAACTGCTAACAGCTATAAAAGAGGAAATTGACAGTAACACAATAATAGTGGGGGACTTTAACACCTCACTTACACCAATGGACAGATCATCCAAACAGAAAACTAATAAGGAAACACAGGCTTTAAATGACATAACAGACCAGATAGATTTAATTGATATTTATAGGACATTCCATCCAAAAACAGCAGATTACACTTTCTTCTCAAGTGCACATGGAACATTCTCCAGGATAGATCACATCCTGGGTCACAGATCAAGCAGGGGATGTGGGCTTGATCCCTGGTCAGGGAACTAAGATCCCACATGCCGTGGGGCAACTAAGCCCACAGACCAAAACTACCACGCCCGAGCACCACAACTAGAGAGCCCGCACACCGCAACTACTGAGCCTGTGTGCTCTGGAGCCTGCGCACCACAACTACAGAGAAGCCTGTTCACTGCAACGAAGAGCCCGCATGCCACAACTAAGACGTGACACAGCCAAACATAAATAAATAAATAAATTGGAGACAGTACTTTTTGCCCATAAGATTGGAAGATATAAAGAAGACTGATGTCAAATGTTAAGGGCATAGAGGAAAAAATATCTTTATACTATTGGTGAAATTATAAATTGGTATAATTTTCTGGATGGAAGCCTGGCATTATCTACTTAAATTTCAACATGTATCTTTTCTCCAAGGAATTCTATTCTATTATTCACCACAGAAATATTTTGGGGCATGTGTACAATTTTGATCACATTAACCCTACTTGTAAGAGCAAAAAATTAGAAACAATTCGAACAATTACCAACAAGACAATTGTTACAGTATGGCATATCCCTTCTATGGAATACTACAACAGGTAAATGAAATGCAGTGGACCTACATGTACTAGGATGAAAAACTCGGCAAGATATAACATAGAGTGAAGAAAGCAGGTTATAGTACAATGTGATGACACTATTTAAAAAGTCTAATAGATGCTAAAACTGTGAAAGGTTGGTGGAAAACTACATATCTGCATGTTGCCAAAGTATCCCCCACATATCTGTTAGTGACAAAAAGAAAATACCTGTGCAACAAAGGAATTAGGTAGTTACTACCTTAACCCAGCGATCAAAACTAGCATCACTTACAGCGAGATTACACTACTGCCTCCTGATAGGATGCAGTATGAAAGAAACAACATCAGCTATTAAAGTATTTTTGCCCAAAGTATTTTTTTTTTTTTTTTTTTGCGGTACGCGGGCCTCTCACTGCTGTGCTGTGGCCTCTCCCGTTGCGGAGCACAGGCTCTGGACGCGCAGGCCCAGCGGCCATGGCTCACGGGCCCAGCCGCTCTGCGGCATGTGGGATCTTCCCAGACCGGGGCACAAACCCGCATCCCCTGCATCGGCAGGCGGACTCCCAACCACTGCGCCACCAGAGAAGCCCTGCCCAAAGTATTTTACCTGATTTAAATCTAACTTCTAGTTTACAGGAAATACAGAAACAAGTTAAACAATGATTAAAAGAAACAATCAGACCCAATTTGGCATGTGGGACCTCATTATAGAAAATGGCTTGCTCTCCGAAAATTCAATGTCAGCGGGGAAAAGGTCAAGGGGAAGGGCAGGAATGTTTTAGGCTAAGGAGATCTAAGGTACATAATAAAGTGTAAGATGTAGTCCTTAATTAAATATAGCTATTAAAGACACCTGGGACTATTGGGGGAAATCTGAATCCAGACTGGGTATTAATGACATTAGGGAATTACAGTTATTTTCGTCAGACATGATAAGTATATTGTAGTCATGTAGAAAAAGTCCTCATTTTTTTTTAAGATGTAGGCATACATATATAGGAGTGAAGCGTGTCAACATTTGTAACTTACTTTAAAACAGTTCAGCAAGTCTATAAAGCAAAAATAGCAAAATGCTGGCAATCATTAAATCTGGATACAAGGATAAGGATGTTGTTTGATATTTCTTTCTACTTTTCTGAATACTGCTATGTTTCTGTATGTATTATACATGCATGTAAACAGGAAAACTAGGTTCACAGGGATCATAGCTGGTTAGCTTCAGGGAGAGGACTGAAATTGGGCAAATGGGTGTAGAAGGCAGGTCCAACAAGTCTAGGAAAATACAACAAAACACACAGCTGGTGCACCAACCTTGACATATTCAACTGCTCTTGGAGAAAAATCACAGGCATAGGCAAAGATATTTGGATCTTCTAAAAGCGGGAATAAACAGTTCCCAACCCCACAACCAGCTTCAAGCATAGTCAATTTTTGATCTTCAAACTGAGGAAAGAGAACCCAAAGTTACAGTACACTACATCTACATAATGAAGAAAAAACTAAAAGGTCCATAACATGAGACAAGGTCTCTGCCCCCATGGAGTAGACAATTAAGTGAACTGATAACCCAAAGCCACTGATACCTCATCCAACATTGGGCAGTTTGGTGTGGAGAAAACAAAGCATAATGGTTAACAGAATAGGCTCTGAGGTTAAACCGTGTGCACTCAAATCTGGACTCCTCCCCTCGCCCCAGGTTCTATCACTGAACAAATCACTTAAACAGCTTTGTGCCTCAATTTCATCAGCAAGTGGGGATAATACTAACGCCAAACTTCACCATGTTATTATAAGGCTTAAGTTACAGAACACATGTAAAGTTCTAGAAAACGGGCATGATAAAGTGTTCATCATTATTATTATGAACCTGTCATTGAAATCATTCATCATGAATTTAATATTTACAACTTTCAGATTAGCTTTAAAAAACGCCCCCTTCTTTTTAAACTTACAAAAAAAGCATATATTTATCTACTTTTCCTTCTCTTGCCATAATACAGAAGCATGATGCTGATGGCCTGATATGTCGGTGTGAAGTGGTTGAAAGCCCCCACTGATTTCAAAATTCTGTGACTGGCCTTTGTTAGACAACAGGACTGCAGTTACAGCGTCTTTTCTCCTCTGTATTATACAACTCAGCGACTGCTAAAACTACTTGAGACAAACAGTGTATATCTAAGGTACAAAAATTTATGAAGCCTCTGAGGGGTTTCATAAATTATCTCACACTCCCCCTGGGAATGCAGTAAAGCACCCCCTCTTCTACACATTCTAAATGAAGAACAGCTCAAATAAGGTGTAATATTAGTTTACCTCTCTACATGATCTGAGCTCCTCAAACTCTCTGGTGGTCCAGTGTCTATCTTTGAAGAAATTAGTGCTATTTCTTTTGTAAAAAAGGTCCCAGTTCTTCTGAGCCTCTTTTTCCAGTTTTTGCTGTTTATAATCAGACACTAAAGCTTGGTCTCTTGTCAGTTTCTCCTCTTCTTCAGAGCTGAGAATCCTTGCCTGAAGCCCTTTCCTTTGCAAAGCAGCCATCTCCTAAGTTGATGGTAATATATTTAACACTGCTGGAGATTCTCCATTCCTGAACAACCTGAGGAATTCAAGCGGATACTGCAGACACAGGCAGGGTTTTCTCAGATGTGGTCCCTCAGGTTGGGTCCAAGCCTCAGGCAGCATCGGGTGTTTCGCAGGAAAAAGAATGAGACTCCGGTTGGGGGGTTCTAGAACAGTTTTTTAAAGATGCTGAGTTAGTGGTCCTACAGCAGTTCTTTCACCTAACAGTTCAACTCAGCAAACGTTTACGAGGTGCTGACCTAACACAAATCCCTGCTCCGCTATTGAATAGGTCACAAAGACCAAGACACAGCCGCTGCCTTCAGAGGGCTGACATTCAGCGGCCAGGGCTCTCACGCACAGAACTGTAAGGAGGGTCACCGTTTCCAAGGACCGGAGACTCAGTGTTTTTCGGGGAAAACAGAGCTAAGCCCGGGTGGCCTGAGACTCTGAGTCTTACGAACCAGAGGTGGCGTCACTTACCAGGGACTAAGGCCCTCGCGTCGCCGTCGGCACGCGAAGGGGAAGAAGAGACTCAGAGACGCGTGGTGTGGGGTGCCCAGAATACTCGGGATAACCCGGGCCGCCCAGCCGCGAGGGCCTGAGAGGACGGCGTGAACCTAGTCCCTCGCGCGCTGGGGCCCCGTCATCAGTTCCTAGGTTCACCTGGAGGGTGGGGCCGGGCGCGCTGAGCCCTCAGCCAGGCCAGCCTCGGAAGCAAAATTTGGGAGCCACAGCGAAATGACCCTTCGTATGGACAAACCGCCCCTGAAGGTCTCGAGTCGGGTTTCTCAGGCGGAGTCCTTCTACCCTGACACCGCCCCCACCATTTCCGCTCCGGGCCCAGAAGTCCCTCCTCGGCGCCGGAAGTTCCGGAGCCCCGCTTCCTCAGAGTCGCCCACCTTCCGGACGCGGAGGCCAGGATTTGCTTCCGGCCGCGGGTGGGTTCCGGCTCGGTTCCCCGCGCGACCCGGAGCGCTGTCCCGGGAGCGCGGCTCCCCCGGACGCCGGTACCGGCAGCTCGGGCCGCGGGCGCGCCAGGAGGGCACCGGTGCGGGCGCGAGGCCCGGGGGGGCCATGAACGGGACGGCCAACCCGCTGCTGGACCGCGAGGAGCATTGTCTGCGGCTCGGGGAGAGCTTCGAGAAGCGGCCGCGGACCTCCTTCCACACCATCCGCTGTGAGTCCGCGCCCCCACGGTCGCCCCTGGCCGCCCTTAGCCCCTCCGGTGTCCAGGGAGCCCTGCCAGCGTCAGCTCCCTTCCTCTCAGCCCGGATCCGCCGGAAACTCGGGTTTTTCCCAGCTCACTCCCAAACCAGAACTTTACTACCTTCCCACTATTCCTTTGCCTCGTGGTACCGAACTCCTATTCCGAAGACCATTGGCCCCTTTTCCTGCCGCGTCCAGCCCTCCCGCGCACTGACGCTCCCCCTCTTATTTCTGAAAGGCTGCGACACCACATCAGGCTCCATATCTTTTCTGTAGCCGCCTTTCCGCCATGACCCCACTGGGGGTCTCCACGCTTCAAGGAAACGCTTGTTGTTTCCTCGGGATCCGCGTCCACTCCCTCCTATTCCATTCTCTTCTTCCCTGTTTTCCTCACTGTTCTTCCCTCGTCCGTTTTGGTTCTGCCCTCCCTGACGCAGTGCTTCATTCCCTTTGCAGCCCCAGAATCCACATCCTCTCTGTGCCTCCATCAGTCTCCCTCCTCAATGTCTCCATGCTAGCTTTTCGTGTGATTTTGATGTCTTTTGAGGTCACCTGGACTACCCCAACTTTTCCTCGGGACCAAGTCCTTTGTGGGTGAAGAATAAAATTAGGATTTGAGAGCCAGGAATAAGTTAGCGCTTGATCTATGTTTGGAAGCAGGAGCGAGCAGGCCTAAGGAATGTGGAGATAGTCATTATGCTGGACCTCCTTTTTCTCCATGATTACAGACCCTGTTGAGAGAGGGCTCTTCCACTCTGTGTCCTGGGTGAAGAATTGGCTGACTGAGCATCCCGCTGTGATTCACAGGCTCCTGGTTTCCCTTCCTGGTAGCCCCAGTGCTGGTTAAGACTTGTTTTTGTCAGAGGAGCTTCTCCTACACGTGACTCAACACCTTGGAAGAGGGTGTGTTAGATAATGCAGTTCTATCTTCCTGTGGTCACTTGCCGGGCCATTACTCTGCTTCCTACTGACAACAGGTCAGCCCTTTCAGAGGAAGGGTATTGGGAATATGATAAGAGCGTCATTTACTGAGCAGTTTACTGATTTGATGTTTTAGCAGAGTGAAGGGCAATGTGGAATGTAAATAAGACACTTCACAGAAGCACCTGGCCTGCGGTTTGAGGCAGGTTTGTGTTAAAAGGGAGTAAGGTGGCTGTTCATGCTGTGCTTTAACTGCAATTCAGAAACATGGGCAGGATTAACCTTTGGAAATACAGTTCAACCTTCTGCTCCAAACATCTACATGAGTAATCCTTGTTAAAGTTATGGAACTGGAGTGTGGCAGATCCTAACTTTGCCAGTTCCTATCAAAATGAAATCAGCTTATATTGTGCTATGGCCTTTCATATTTCATATTGGGTTTTACAGTCACAGGATTTTAAAAATATGCTCTGTTCCTTTTGATCCTTATAATAACCCTAGTAAAACACCTCATTGTGGATAATAAAACATTAATTTTTCATCTGTCACTTTGCAGAAGGGGATAGCTTTGCTTAATAAAATGTTTTGTAAATTCTAGCCTTTTTTCTTCAAAATAATCCACTGGGAATGAGAAGAAAAGTATGTGGAGGTATAGATGAGACAAGATTGTCCCAGAGCTGGTAATTATTGAAGCTGGGCAATGGTACACACAGCTCATGGTATTATTCTGTCTGCTGTTGTATATGAGAAGCTGTCCACAATGAAATAGCTTTCTGAAAAATTCTAAATGGTGTGTATTTTCCATTTATTTGAGTTATAAAAAAATTTCAGTTCTTACATGGGAATGCCCTGCAAACCCTTAGCAAAAGTAACCTGGTGGATAAATGCTTTTTTCCTTTCCCTTTAGATGACTTTAAGCCGGCATCTATAGACACTTCCTGTGAAGGAGAGCTTCAGGTCGGCAAAGGAGATGAAGTCACAATTACGCTGCCGCATATCCCTGTAGGTTTTATCCCACTGTTGTTTTTTTTAATGTGGAATCACAGTGAACCCTCATATTCTCTGTTATTGCAATTTGATTTTTCTCCTATTTAAATATTTCTAGATTTCTGAAGTGCCAGTATAAGGGAAAAAGGAATTTTGGGGGTAGGGCAGGGTAGAATTCATGCTTCCCAGGTACTTGAGTAAAAATAATTCTTTGTCATTTTCCCCAAGCTCCCTTTTCCCCCATTTGTCCCAAAGTAGACAAGGTTCCTGTGTGGACACCTGGCCCCTCCCTTAGACACACGTAGCTTCCCCCCAGCAGCTACAGAGAGAAAGGCCCAGGTGCCCTGCAGATGTAAAGCAGCAGCTTGGGAGTGCAGAGGGCAGGAGCTGGGTCGACACGGGTCGTGAGTCTGGCAAGGGGTGATGTGCAGGCTGGTGGTTTCAGCCAGAAACCAGAGGTGCAGAGCCTTCAGCCCATTTAGGGCTGAGGAACCCAGTTAAAAGCTGAATGGAGAAGCCTTGCCCGAGGCGGTGCTCTGATCGCAAAGCCCAAAGGATCAGAAAAACACTCTTAATGACCATGGGTCATTGTATGTCCCAGCCCTGTCCTGGAACATCAGTTCTCAGTAACCAGTGATAGAATGAAAAGGCTCTGGACAGGGAGACCTGGGAAGCTTTGTGCTGGGGAAAACTTATTGTCTGCTAGTTCAAACTGCTATCTCATTACTTGTTGCCTTTGGCAAGTTCCATCATCTCCCTTTGGACCTTAGTTTCCCAAATGTAAAATGAAGAGGTTACATCAGTGGTCCCTAAGGTCTCTTCCAACTCTTAATTTTTACTGTATGAATAAGGAGTCAAGCAGCCAAGCAGTTTCTGATTCCATACAGAGGATTAAATGCTATATTTGGCAAATATTAATGACCACCTGCTGGGTGCTGGCTCACTACTAGGTACTGAGAATACAGGCTTGAACAAAACAAGCACGTTTCTTGCCCTTAGGGAGTTTAAATAAATATAAGAAAGCGTAGCACTTATTTTGGAAAATCTGGGAAGGCTTCCCTGAGGAAGTGACCTTTGAGCAGATTTGAATGTTGAATAATTAAAAGGGAAGGAGAGGGTGGGATGTTGCAGGCAGAAGCCCTGTTAAATCCCTGCAAGAAAGAGCTTGGGTCTGAGAGAAGGCCAGCTCCTTCTGCTCTGGAGCCTGCAGAGCCTGAGGCGAGTGGAGCCGGGCATGGTGGAAGGACCAGGTGGCTCGTTTAAAGATTTTCTTCTTTGGCCTTAGAGTGATGGGTAGTGATTCAAGGGCTTAAGCGGGTGAATGGAATGGTGTACTTACTGTGAACCAGCCAGAATAACGAGCTGCCATTGGAGAATGCTCTGTGGTTACTTGGCACGGGGGGAAGCCTGGACTCTCCTATTACAAGGAAGTACGGAGGTCACTCACTAGCTTTACTACTTATAGTGAGAGCTCTTCTCAGTGTCAGACACGTAATGCATAATTTATGTTTCTCAGTTCACATTTTACCATTATTTGTAACATTTCCCAAATCCCTGGAAAAATGTACAGTAATTTAAAAATTTTATATTTATTTCTTGATTACTTAGAGCCAGTTGCACAGTCACAGATTCTTGCCGTATTTTTATTTCCTCTTTATTTTTGCTTGGGAAGCCAGCAGGAGTTAAAATACAAATTGGTTCATTCTGTTCCTTTTTGAGTAGCTCTGATAAAAGATGTGATGAGGTAAAGCCACCTGTAAATTCAGTTTTGATATGCATAACTGGTGTGTTTGGTTTGATTGTCTGAATTGTACTTTTGTGGTGTGTAGGGATCCACACCACCGATGACTGTGTTCAAGGGGAACAAGCGGCCTTACCAGAAGGACTGTGTGCTTATTATCAATCACGACACTGGAGAATATGTGCTGGAAAAGCTCAGCAGCAGCATCCAGGTCAAGAAAACAAGGTATGTGAAGAAGCAGATACAGATCAATGTGCCGTTTCTATAGATTTACATTATCTATTCAGTTATTTTATAAGGATGTGAGAACCTGGGTGCTTCGTGTTGTTGGCAGTCTCAGCAGCTCCACCTCTCTCTTCTCAGATAAGTCAATAAAATATTTTTTCCTCAAAGGCAATAAAGAGAGATAATGCTTTTAAGACCTGAAACATAGAAAACATTGCAGAAAGGAGTGTACTGTATGATTAAATCAGTTTTATTAATTTCATGATGGTTGATATAGTACCACCAAAGGGATAAGGTTTAAGTTTACAGACTTAAAGTTATGAAAGAATAATTTAATAATATATATTCTTGGGCTTCCCTGGTGGCGCAGTGGTTGAGAGTCCGCCTGCCGATGCAGGGGACACAGGTTCGTGCCCCGGTCTGGGAAGATCCCACGTGCCGCAGAGCGGCTGGGCTCGTGAGCCATGGCCGCTGAGCCTGCGCGTCCAGAGCAATGGGAGAGGCCACAACAGTGAGAGGCCTGCGTACAGCAAAAAAAAATAAATAAATAAAAATTAAAAAAATAATAATATATATTCTTTATTAGAGTGAAAACATTAAATTTTTACAAGGTACATTTGAGGTCATTATTACACCAAAGTAAAGCTTTGTCTATTATTTTTGAACAATGAGCTCTCTTTAATTTTTAATTCAACAGACATTACACGTGTCATGTGAAGCCAATTAGATTTTATTTTAAAGTCAAGTTTCATTCTGTAAATAGAAG